CCAGTGTGGGTGATAAGGAAGGCTGTGCCACTGGGACTATACAGGACACCTACTACATTGGGCCACACTTCAAGGCACAGAATAAAAGCAGTTCCACCTAATACATAGAAACAGAGGGAGGCTGCCAAAATGAGGAGACAAAGAAACACGGCCCAAAATAAAGGAGAGATTTTTCTGAAGACTCACTCTGAAAACTCCAGAAAAAGAGCTAACCAAAATAGGTAAGTGATCTATCAGATGCTGAAGCCAACACACTGGTTATAAGGACGCTCAAGGAATTTAGTGAAGACCTCAGCAGCATAAAAAAGATCCAGTCAGAAATGAAGGATACACTAATTGAAATAAAGATCAATGTACAGGGAAACAACAGTAGAGTGGATAAAGCTAAGAATCAAATCAATGATATGGGACATAAGGAAGCAAAAAAGAACAATCAGAACAAGAAGAGGAAAAAAGAATCCAGAAAAATGAGGATAGTAAAGCAGCCCCTGGAACAACTTCAAGAGACCCAACATTCACATTATAGAAGTGTCAGGAAGAGAAGAGAAAGCAAGAAATTGAAGCACTACCTAAAAAAATAGTGAAAGAAAAATTCCCTAATTTGGTGAAGGAAATAAACGTGCAACTCCAGGAAGCACAGAGTCCCAGTTATGATGGACATAAAGAGGCCCACTCCAAGACACATCATAATGAAAAGGCCAAAGGTTAATGATAGAGATTCTTAAAAGCAGCAAGAGAAGTTAGTTACCAGATGGTTGCCAAATGGGAGGGGAGAGGAAGAGAATGGGTAAGAGGTGAGGGGATTAAAAATACAAATAGGTAGTTACAGAATAGCCATGGGGATGTAAAGTACAGTATAGGAAGTGGAGTAGCCAAAGAACTTATATGCATGACCCATGGGCATGAACAAGGGGTGGGGGTTGCCTGAGGGAATGGGGTGTGCTGGGTGGAGGAGGGGCAAAGGGGGGGAAATCAGAACAACTGTAATAGCATAGTCAATAAAATATAATTTTAAAAAAATAAGTAAATGAGGAGAGTAAAAAAAATGGAAAGGAAGAAAGATACCTTTTCTTTAAGCCTCATTTGGAAAGTAAGAATAGCCACCAGTCCCCAGGTGTGAATAAGCTGGCTCAATGATAACACTTGGTCACAATTCAAAATAGAAATATTGAGACCTTTCTGGAAAAGTACTACATAATGAAAAAAAGAGAGAGACAAAAAACAATCTGTAGTAGCATTCCTTCGTGTGCAAAGTCAGCAGAAAAAGGTTATCGGTAATGTTGACAGTTTTCTCATTAAGCAAGAGGCCAAATATGGGCCTGGTATACAAATGTATGTATCATCAAGATTTTTTAAAATTTATTTTTACTGTTTTTTTCCATTACCATTTATCCCCCTCATACCTTCTTCCACCTCTACCCAACCCTCTCTGCCCCGCGTTCACCGCACTGTTGTCCGCGTCCACGAGTCCTTTTTTTTTTGCTTGGTTTCTGTATCCCCTCACTGCCCCCCTCCCCCAGAGCTGTCAGCGTGCTCGCTGTTTATGCTCTTTCTGAACTGATCTTAACGATAAATACATTTGTGTATCAGTCCCAGATCTGGCCTCTTGCTTAATGAGAAACAAATGGGCATTCCCACTGAAGTCTGGAACAGATAGGGATGTTTATAATCACTGTTTTACATTGTGCTGAGTTTTATATTGAATTAGCAAACAGATATGAGAAAGAAAATAAAGGCTTAAAAATTAGAAGGGAGCAGATAAAGCTATGGCTGAGAAAATTTATTCATTCATTCAGGAAGTATTGATTCTCTACTGTATTCTAGGCACTGGTGAAAAAAGATACTAAAAATCCTTTTTGTTTGTAGAGCTAATAGTCTAGTAATATGCTAATATGTGAATATATATGAGGAAACCTAACAACAAACAACATGAAATGTTAGCATAAAGTCAGTAGGCGTATATACATGCAGACAACAAGCATTAAAAGATATAAGAAAATTCCTTATTTAGAACAGAACCAAAAAAGATAACATTCTCAGGAATAAATGTAACAAAGATGTGTAAGGTGTGTCAGGAAATTTCAAACACTATTAAACAACACAAAAAACATATTGAACAAAAATGTCAATTCACTCTATATTAATTTAAGAACTTATATAATCTCATTAAAAATACCAACAGATTTTCTTGTTTGACTATTTTTATATTTTGAAACTAGGCAAGCTAGTGCTTCCTTTGGCAGTACATATACTAAAATTGAAACTTGACAAGCTAACTCTAAAGTTCATATAGAAAAATAAATAAAGATTTCCAAGTAAACTCACTACATGTACCTGCACAAACAGAACAATGGAAGAATAGATCCAATTTCTCATGAGAAAAAAGATGAACAATGGTATTGTTCATCTGGGTAAGCCATTTGGAAAGAAAGTTAGAATCATACCTCCCTCTGCATACAGGATATATTCCAAATGCACTGAAGATTGAATTTAAAAAGCAAAACTATAAGTGTATTAGAATTAAAATTGTAAATGTGGGAGGATGTCTTGGACACTTGTAATAGGGACATCTTTTCTAATTTTGACCACATATTCAGAAGCTATGACAGAAACGATTGATGAATTCAAATATGTTTTTAAAAGAAACTTCTGCAAGTGAAAAAAAAACCCCAAAATACCATAAACTAATTATAAACTATGAATATTGGAATAGATGACATATTGGTACAAAGTATGCAGCCTGTGATACACACAAAGATTTAATTGAAGAAATTAAAGAATAATTGAAGAAATCCTACACATCAATGAAGAAAATACCTACAGGTCAAGAAAAAAAAGTGGACAATAGATATGAAAAGACTGTTCATAAAAATGAAATACAGATGCTTTATAAAATACATGAAAAGGTGCTTCTGATAAGAGGAATCAAATTTAAAATTATACAATGACACTACTTTTTATATATTAAACTGGAAAAAATTGAAGTGTGATAATCCATTCTGTTGATGAGGCTTTGGGAAATGAGCACTGTTGCTTGTGTGAGAGTGTTAGTTGCTGAAATTATTAATGAGGGTGATTTTTAAATATCTAAATACATTGCAAATGCGTAGGCCTTTTGATCTCCAACATTCACTTCCAGGAATTTATATCCATGTATAAAATGGCCTGTATAAAATGACCCATGGCATGGTTATTTATTGCAGCATTGTTTATAGTAGCGGAAGTCTGGAAGCTAACTCAGTGTCCATTCATAGGGGAGTGGATAAGTAAATTATGGCATATTCTTATAGTTTTTCAAAAGAGAGAGGGCATTCTTTACAGTTTATGATGGAAATACTCCAAGACACATTGTAAAGTGAAAAACCCAAAGTCCAGAATGATGTATGTGGTATGCAACCATTTATGTGACAAGAGGGGTTATAAGAATACATGTTTAAATTTGCTTACATTAGCATAAAATAACTCTGGAAAGAATCTGATTTAATAACTGGTTACCTGGTAAGAAGGGGAAAGTAGGAACTGAGTAGGAACAAATTAGCAAAGTGAAACATTGGATAATTTTTAATTTGCAAACCATGTGAATGTTTTACCTAGTCAATAAACTTAGGAAATAAATTGAAATGAAAAATGAATTCCCCTAGGAAACTGGTATATCCAAGGTATATTGCAGACTGTAAATTTTCTCTCTCCTGTATTTTTTAATTGAGAGACATGAAAGGAGAGTGTAGATGGTGTCATGACTACTAATAAAAACACCTCAAAGTGCACACCTTACTGAAATTTGGCAAATAACTTTTACAGACACAAGCTCAGCACATTTTATAACCCTAGTCATAACATGGAGGCCATTGGCTATGTTTCCTGTGGGTCTGACACCTTGAATTGATTGAGATGCTGTAAAAGGTGTCATATGAACATTCTACCCTTATAACTTGAAAGCTGAAAGCTGGTCAGCCTGCCTTCCCGATTTTTGGTTATTTCCTCTGATCATTAACAGATCCTTAATATAAAAACAAAGGTAGAATAGATAAAGAATAGACCTGACTTGGTTTAGTTGTGTTGCATAACAGTTCACCGTCACATACTTTTCGGCACGGTATTCTCTAAGGTATTGAAGGAAAGGGGAGAACTAACATCTGCTAAGTTTCACATACATTTTAAAATTTGGTCCTCACCACCATCCCATTTAGGTGGGTAATAACCCTTTTTTAAAGAAAAAACAGGTTAGAAAACTGAGGCTCAAAGAGGTAGCTTCCTAGAGTGAGGACTTGAACCTACGCCTGTCATCTCCTAATGTTACAGAAATTTGTGAGAGATGGAACAATTATTCTCACATGTCGAGCATAAATTGTGTCTCTTTTCCACTTCACCAAGTTTGTGTCTTCAAGTAGTGCACAGTCCTTGTAAAAGGTCTGATGGGGATCTGGTTAAAAGAAATGACCAGGAAAAGGAATAGAGGAGGAAAGTATGAAGAGCAGAGTAGAGGGGAGAGAGAGGAGGGAGAACGAGAAAACATTTTGTAGTGGAATTGGTACCTTAGGCTAAGGTCAGGTATTTTGGGATTATTCCAGGCTTTTTATTATCCTGATATGTGATAATTTGGTATAACATTCTTTTCCCCCGAGAAATAAAAATATTGAAATGATGTCTCTGCAAATTCACCTAAGGTGGCCTTTACCTCTGTGTTGCAGAGAACTTTGTTGATGAACTTCATTTTGAAACGGCTTTCCCTGCAGGCTAATGGAGCTGACTCGGCCATTTGGCTGTCCCGTTGAATCTCTGGGGCTGATAAGAAGTGCAAGTGTGAGAGCAGGATTCATATTTTTCAATGTTGTTTCACAATGAATAACTTTTCTTGTCCTAACTGGTTATTTACATTACGTCTTCAATGGTAAATGTAGAAATCTCAGTACAGGTAATAAATACAGGAGAAAACAACCTCAAGGCAGATCTGTTTATGGTGAAGATGAAAACGATTTTCCTGGTACCTTGTTTCATAGCATCCTGATGAAAAGAGATTGGAGGGCCTGTCCAAACAGCTGGACTGGGATGTTCGCAGCATTCAACGCTGGTTTCGACAAAGACGCAACCAGGAGAAGCCAAGCACACTGAAGAGGTTCTGTGAGAGCATGTAAGTTGCTGTGTTTCTTTTTGAAAGAAAAATCTGTGTAGTATCTCACACCATCCTTGAGGTGAAAAATAAAGGCTTTGTACAGCTCCAGCAGCCTCTAAAATAGCCTGCTGTGTGGTGGAAAAATAGTCCGCAACAAACTGGGGGAATACTTGGTACCAATTTGTGATTTCCACTTTGGATGCAGGAAATGAAGTTGGTTTCTGCATGGAGTTCCTACAAAGCAGGCCTCATACAGGGCATCCATTGGTATTTTCAATCAGCCACCTTTGAAAGACAGCATTAAAAGTAATTGCATTTATAGTTGGAATTTTAATAGAGCGGACTTTGTCATGATGTTCTTTCCCCTGATAAACACTGAGAGACTAGGATATATTATTAGAAGATCATGCTCATGGCCTATATTCCTGGAGATTTAAGAAATTCCTGTATTATGTTCCTGGGTGAGTTTAATAAAGCATTGCTTTAAGGTGGGAGATGGAACGAAAGTCTCTTCTATTTCTGAAATATGAACTTTATGGTGTGTAAATTATATATCAATGAAGCTTTTCAAAAATCATAGAAGACCCACAGAGAACTCTTCTAGCACAGTGATATTTGGAAGTAGTGATACCCAATACCCTTACCTATAGGCAAGTTAGAGAGAGGAACGCTGGAGCCCTGAGCACATCCCCGGCCCCCGCCCCTCCCACAAGCGGACTATTCGGCCTCGTGGCTTTGCTTGGTTTTCATCCTCTGGGACACAACTGCGCCTTTGTCTAACGGTTCTTTCCTTTGGGAGCTATTTCCTGACACCTGGTCATTTAACAATAATGCTGTCACTGTAGCTCCCTCTGTTGCAGTTAAAGTAACATTTTCGGGTTTAGCTTTCAGTTATGTCCAAAACTATTTAAGCAATTGCAATCTAAACTTTAGAGGGAAACCTACGCTTATAAAAGAATGAGTGAGAAGCAGAAAGATATCGTTACTCCTAGGACTGGGTAAACATGAGGAGCATAAATAGGGTCTCCAGGAGGTCAGAATATTTATGAAATGTGGAAAAACAACCTAGTAGATACAAACTGCCAAGTCTTTCCTATAATCGAAGTCAGTGGCAGTTTATGGAGGAAGGATTTATGCATCTGGGCTCCTGCTCAGAAGCTGACTTGCTTCCTGCCTGGTCCTGCCACACACACAAAGGGCCTGGGCTCCGTCCTTGAGCTGCAGGTGTAAGTAGGAGTGAAGTGGGGTCTCAGCACATGCCCACGTGCTGAAGCTCATGCACCATCTGCTCCAGCTCCAACTAACTTCCTTGGTAACTGAGTGCCAGCCCTTTCTCTATTATGCTTAGTCTACACCAGTTTGTGGAGGAATCAATCACCTGGATCTTGTTAAAGTGCTTATTCTGATTCAGTCGTTCTGGGGTGGCAGCTGAGATTGCATTTTTAACCAGTTTCTAGGCCATGCTGCTGGTCCATGGACCACACTTTGAATGGCAAAGATGAACACTATACCAATGACTATGTTTTTTCCCTGAATTCACCTTTCTTGATCTGCATACCACAATGACCAGGATGATCACAGTTACAATTAGTTAAAACTATTTCTAAATGATTACTAGAGGCATGGCAATGGGAAGGCACAATAGGGGTGAGGTAGGTGCATACAAGTATTGATTATGATCCCTTCCTTGAGGAAGCTTATTAGAATAATGTCAGGTAAGACGTAATATCTGAATATGTGAGGGTCAATGAACATATTAAAAAATAACCAGATAGGTGTGCTAAACGATTGGTATGCACAGTCAGTAACTAAAGATTAAAGGATACGGATCAGTTATGGGTTAGAGCACGTACAAGGGTAGCTGGGACTAGAACTGAGTCATTGACAATGACCTTTGACCTCTCTGTAGCAATAGACTGTGTTGATGAACTTTGTTTTGAAACCCTTGCCCTCTGGGTTGCTGCTAGATTCTCCTGCCTTTCTGAGGGCTTTTGTTTGCATCACTTATTCTGTATTTTCTCTATGGTCTTTAATGGGCTACTTCTCCAGAGTCAGTCTTCACCCTTTTATTTCCCTCATTCTACCGCCCATCTTTTGTGTAGACAGTTATTCTTCTCACCAACTTCCTCCAAAACCATGTGTCCAGTGCAAATGCTTGTTCTGAGGCATCTCCAATTGGCAGCTCCGATTAGCTTCTACTCCTGACTCTCTTTGGCTCCTATGGTTTGTATGTCTCCATCCTGTTACGGACTGGAAATAAACCACGCAGCCCCTGAGATTCGTTAGTTCTCTGTAAAGCCACTGTTGTGGCCCCGGTCCTAATGGCTCTCGTTGGTCTCACTATTTATCTCCTGCTCATATATATTTTATTGGCTCAAAAAAAATTACATTTTCCTAAAATACTATTATCTCCATCGTCTGCTGCTTTAAAACCTTAATGATTTTTCTACAACGAGAGGATCAATGTTAGGCTCCTTAGCCTCATGGCTAGAGTCTGACCTTTTGATATCAGTGCCCCAAATGATCCCTTCCTTCTAGAGGGCTGTGCTTCCACTATCTATACTTCATTCATTCCTGCCTTGGTTTGCGCTACGTCCCTGATCTGGAACACCTACATTCCTCTGCCCTGCCCATGTGTCCCACGTCCATTCTTCAAACCCTAGGTCCTCAGGAATGTGGCGTGACTGTTGGGTCTGGAGTAAGCACTACATCTACTGAATTCTTAGGGCCCTTATTGTAAGTGCTAGTAATTTAATACCGAATCATGCGTTTTCTCCTTTGGTTATCTTTTCTTAGGTTGTCTGTATAGTTTCACCCTAATTATATCATACATGCTCCTCCCGGGGCACAAGAACATCATCTTGTTTTTCTTGCATTTTTCTCAGTCTTTACCGCAACATATAGACTCTGCTGAATAAATATTTGTCAAATGACTTTATGTTAAGATGATGATGTTTTGGAAAGATTTGCTGATCTAAGTTGGCATCCTGCCCCCTGCAAATGAAGTGTCTAACATACAATGACTTAGCCTAAAATTCAACTGGGAAAATTCCTCAACTGTAGAAAGCTCCAAGCCAGTTTCAAAAGTAGAAATCAGGGGGAAGAATAAGATTGCAAAGGAGCATGTTAAAACAATACCACGAAGAATAAAGCAGAATTATATTGGTCTGTGTGTGCATGCACGTATATTACAGTTATTTGGTCATCAGTTTAAACACTGATCTGGGAAATCCATTCTTAACCAGGGAAGCACTTCGTAATAACCTGGTAAGCTTTTCAAAGTGCACATGCCTAGGGATGCTGGTCCAAACAAACCCGGGATGTTTGATTAAGTGTGGGGACTCGGGTGCAGTCCGGACACGCATATCTTGGAAGAAATACCCTGAATACTGATGATGCACATCCCTGGGTAAGAGGCACTAATCTCTGAGAAGAGATGAGTGTTGTTAAAAATACTAAAAAGGCAATACGACAAATGGCAAATTAGGAGCTTATAGATCTAGGGCTCCAATGTAAAGATTTTATGGTTTTCCTGTTATGTAACTTACTATTTTAGAAAACACAGAATCCCTTCAGGGGAATTGTATTTCATCTTTCAGCAGCGTAGAATGCACCCGGATGCATGCCAGACAGTGCTTGTAACCATCTGCTGGCATGTCCAATGCGGGGCATGCCCACTTAATGCAGAAGGTCTACGTAGAAGAAGTCATTCAAGTAATGTGTTGAAACATTGATGTGATACATTTTTTTATTCACGTTGTTGTCAGTCATTTACAGCTGTGCTCATTTTGATGACTGTCTCCTCCAGAAACATTTCAATCTGTATTGAAAACGGAGATAGAAATTTTCAGAAGGAAGTAAAGAATTTATAAAAATGAGATGTCATGTGAGATGTTTTAGGAGAAACTGGTTCTGAATGGGAGCCCTTGAGCTACAGGAATCATGCTATGGGGCTGCTGAAACTTTGCCTTCCTCCTCTAACAACTGGATCAGGATAACATAAAAATAAATATCTATAATAAAAATATCTGCAGGACACATGAAGAGGCAGAGATAAGTTTTCAGAATAAGTGGCTTTCCTTTAATTCATGCCCTACCTATGCACATTATTTTTGAATATTGTTCAGTAGGTTTAATAGCACACATCTAGAAGTAAATAATATATATCAGTTTCACTTAAGCAGTCTCCAGTTGACTGGACAGATAAATCTCCCATATGATAACCTGGAAATATAGAAGGAGTATTTGAACTTCACAGAGTAGTAGTAATTTATTAGGGTTGAAGTTGGCTCCATATGGAGCCTTGCTGTAGGATAAGAACCCAAGATTATCTTTTGTTTAGAAATTGCATTTTAGAATTGATGCTCATTAAAATTATCCCTAAATGCTGTTGTATCTGGATGCTTCTGTTCTGGGAAAATCTGGGAACCTTTTGAAATTGTGACTTTACTTCTGCAAAGAAGCCCTCTGAGCTTAATTTGTGATAACTCAGCACTGAGATAAGAGTGGTTTAACCACTTGCCTTTATGCCACCAACTTGGTCACTGTTTTTATTTGGGAGATTTTTTCCTCAGACAAATCAGCAATACTGTCTTGTGACCTCAGTAAGAAAGTGGAGCCTAGCAATTGAGGGTCAAAAAGATCAGGGTTGTACAGGAAACAAACAGCTGAATCTCATATTTATTTCAGGTCAGTCTTTGATCTGAGGAAATTGTGTGTTGAACATATTCAGCAGGTTTATATAACCCAGCCACCTGTTTGCAAAAAGAAAGAAAGAAAGGAAGGAAGGAAGGAAGGAAAGAAGGAAGGAAGGAAGGAAGGAAGGGAGGGGGGAAGGAAGGAGGGAGAGAGAGGGAAGGAGGGAGGGAGTGAGGAAGGAAGAAAGGAACAGAGAAAATAAAAGAAAAACCTGAATATTTATAAACTTAAAATCTTCCATATACACTCTATACACACTCTAGTGATAGACAAAATTTGCCAAAGAGAAAATTCAGTTTTGATTATTTTTTCCATTCATC